AATTTCATTCAGTTGGAAACTGGAGGTCAGTACATTTAGTTAAGATCTGGCCAAATATGGCTATAACTGTCTTAGACTTTTTTTTCCCTATTTGTCCTTATCTTTGTAACTTTCTGTTTGCTGATTATTTTTTCTTCTTGTCCTTTTAAAACTTAATTATATTCTAACTAATAGAAATTTCATCAGAGTCATTTTAGCAAATGAATCAATGGTCACACATCTAAGTGTCCCATATAAGAATGGAAAAAAATGGATAGAAAATAATTTTGGGAGGTAATCATCTAAGTATAAGTTTTCTGAAAACTTCCTCTCAATTTTCTTTTTTCACTTGGAATAACGTATTTGGATAGCTTTTATTTTATTTATTTATTTTTTCCCCATCTTTTTGAGACAGGGTCTTGCTATGCAGTTCAGGCTGGCCCTGAACTCACTTTGTAACCCAGGCTGGTCTTGAACTCACAGCCATCCTCCTGCGTCAGGCTGCTGAGTGCTGGGATTACAAGCATGTACCACCATGCCTGGCTGATAGTTTTCATTTGAATGGTTAATGTTAAAAATAAGATTATTAACTTTTTCATATAGTTGCAAAATTTTCTTTAAAGTTAAACTCGCAACAAATTCTGTTACATATTTAACTTTTTCATTTGGGTTGTGGTTACATAATTGTATGAGTTAAAATATGAATTATGGTTTTAAAAAGTAGAATTGTAGCATGCAGATTTATATGGGTAAAAATATATGTGTATATACATGGAAATATATCTATATCTTTATCTATATATAATGGGAATGTGGTGGTAGGTCTGTGAATATTCAGTTGGAAAACACATAAATAAGCTCACATCCAGCGTATGCCTCCAGTAAGGCTAGGTTCGCGTGATTTTCAGTTGTGTTACAGAGCAGGTTCTAGTAGCTGAGGACCATCCTAGGAATCAAGCAGACTGGTTGAGGACTTCATTTAGTGCTACAGATTTTAATGTTTAAACTTAGACTCTTACAGTTCAGAATTTAACATTGATATTGAGAAACTAAAATGTTTGCAGGTTAAAAGAAAAAAATGATTTGAATGACATATATAGGGAACTGAAGGATGCATTTGACTTTTCAATTTGCTGCTGAAGTTCTATGAATTATTATTATTATTATTGTTGTATTATTTTGTCTTTTTGAGACAGGGTCTTGCTATGCAGTTCAGACTGACCTTGAGCTCGCTTTGTAGCCCAGGCTGGCCTTGAATTTGCAACTATCCTCCTGCCTCAGCCTCCCGAGTGCTGGGATTGCAGGCGTGCCCCACCACACCTGGCTGAAGTTCTGTGAATTATTCAGCCAAGTTTCCCACAGTATCCGTTCAGTCCTTTCAAAGGTGCAGGAGCCCTCCGAGGGCCGGTCCAGCTTCTTTAATAGGATAACAGTAAAGTGCTACCGTGACTGAACCTGCCTAACTTTCTCTTCATGAGCGAATTTTTAAATTGGAAAATGAATGCATGTAGATGCGGAAAAGGGGAGGGAGGGAGGAAGTTCTTGTACCCCAGACCTATTGCCCAGAGTCAGTTATCTGTGACAAATTCTGGCTGCTACTCTCAGAAGGAGATTAGTACACCTCTGAACGTTGCTTGATGAAGATGTAGGACGTGGGAAGTGCTTTCTTGTGAAGAGCATAGGTTGTTTCCTGGCGCTGGAGCGGAGAAGGCAGCACTGACGGTTTGTGGGGGAGGCAGGCAAGGCCTGTGGGAGCCATTCCCGCTGTCCCAGGAAGCCGAGCTAGGGGATCCCCCACCCCGGGGGTGGGGCTGGAACCCAGCCTCTCACATGTGCTGGGCAGATGCTGTCCACTGAGCTACACGCCCAGCCGCTGCTGGACTTCAGAAAGAGCGGGCGAGACTGGAGTCCAGTCGGGAGGCCCCGTCATCAGGCCGCCAACCACGGGAAGGCCGCCCTGGGGTGGGGAGTGGTGTGGCCCTCGCCCCTTATCGTAGCCCACGGCAGTGCATTCAGACCTTTAGTTGCTACAGGGCACCTGCTGATCTTGTTCATGTGCAGACTCGGATTCTGTAGGAGGCCTGGGCTGGAACCTGCGAGTCTGTGTTTTAAATGACCTCACAGTTTGGTGATTGATCCTCTGGGAGGAAGTGGGGATCCGCCACAGCCTGCGGGTTAGGGCTTGGAATTCGACTTGGAGGCCGAGGAGAGGAGAGGAACTCTGTTAGCTCTTAGGGCACAGTCAATGTGGGGTGAGCCACAAGGCCGACTTGTGCTGGTCTGCTCATAGCTGGGGTTCTGTTGGGTCCCCTGCCAAAGTGGGGGACGGTGGATGCTTAGCCAGTGGGGAGAAACCAACTGAGCCAGGAGATCGGGATTAGGAAGCAGGGAGGGAGACGGGTGTGGAGGGTGTGCGGAGAGCTTCCAAGCTACTCTGCACCCAGAGCTCCCTCTTCCCCAACGCTGAGCCTTCGCATTTCTGCTCTGGCCTCACCTGTCACAGCCAAGGCAGAAGGTATGGGTGTGACAGATGCATGGCCTGACCTAGGGCTGCAGGAGACCCTGGTGCTGACCGAGGAGAAGGGAAAATAATTGGCTCTGAGGTACCTTGGTACTGTTCTTTAATTATTCACAGAAGATGACCTCTGACTCCAGCCAAAGTTGTATGAAATTCTGCTTAAAATGATATTAAAGTTGTGTTTGCACAGTAAAGAAAAAACTTGAAAAATGCATAAAATTTCCTAGCAGAGGCAAACCAAAAAAAAAAAAAAATCGCTATTAAAAGAAAATGTCCAAACATTAGGAGGTTTTATTTTCTCCCTCTAGTCCTCGTTTGTGGAAGTTACTGTTTTAAAAAAAAAATTTTTTTTTTTAACCAAATCGAACAAGAAACTTAAATCTACATTCTTAGAGACTCCAGTACTTTTTTCCTCTGGAACATTAGAAAACCTTCAAACAAAACGCAGTGCTGAGATACTTTGCTACCTCTGCTTTCCTTGCAGAAGCACAGTGGCTTGCGCTACAGAAGATCAGTTGGTCACGCTGGCTGGGCTGGCCGCAGGGCGGTAGAATTCTATGGCCTGGCATAGCCAGGAAATGTTTGTCATGAGCAAACAGGAGCTAAAACATCACAATAAACCTATCTCCTGCCATTTTCCCCTCCCCTCTTCTAAAAAAGAGCTAAATAACACAGAGCATCTTAATTCTTTTTAAGTGACATACTTTCTTATTATCTTTAGGGGGTTGAAATTTTGTATATATTGCATCACTTTGGATATTTAGCCCTCTAGTGAAGAGGGACCTGCTTAATAGTCTGGTTAATATTTTACACTTCAGTGTGTTTTCCTGATCAAAGTTTTGAGTGAATAGTTACCATCTGGGTACGTCCGTCTTGTATATGTGAATTTTCTATTGGATAAGTGAGAGACACTGTGTAATGTGTAAGTATTTAAGGTCTAGTGCTTCCAGGAGAAGGATTACTGGGAAAGTGAGACCTGCAGTTTCCTGCTTTTCTGGGAGTAATCCTTCTGTGGATACAGTTGTTAACATTCCTACAATACTTGATACAGTCTTGTGCTTACAGATTCCTGAGTCATGTGACCTCAGATAGTTAGGAATTAAAATATTTGTAAGCGCCTCAAGAATGTAGCTTTGAGCTCTTCCTGTCACAGATGGCCCTTAGCATTTCATAGCCCATATTGAAATGCTGCCGGAGTAGATGAATGTGTGGCAATGAGCTTCCTTGTTCACTTTGCATCGCATTCTCCGCTCTTGGAATTATTCTGTAGTGTGCTGTAATCTCCACTGCGTAAAAACATCCCGGTGTTTGTGACGGGAGTCTTGACACCACGGGAGTGGCAAATGCTGCACGTCAGGGCCCTGTCTCCCCAGGACACGCTGGAGGCACAGGAAGGCAAGCGCTGCAGGGCTCAGCTGCAAGGAGCCCCCAAAGCCTCTGGATTAGTAGTCTGATCCTTCCGGTCTGGTTTGCTTCTGCTAATAGAGGCTGGCTGCAGTTGCCGACCTCATTGGTTTAATGTGTGTGCATTTCACGGCCTCCCCGCTCCTCAGTATCCATGCAGGAATCTGTAAAGCGCTGGATGCAGGCAGGGAACATCAGAAGAAATGGATTGGGACTAGGTAGAGAAGGACCTGAAATTACCCAGAGAGGTAATGTGCGCTGTTAAACTCATGCCAGTTTAATGGCAGGGGTGGAGTGGAATCTGGGTCTCCTAACTGTGCCCCCACACTACACTTGTAGAATTATACTTTAAGGAGTGAGGATTTTCTGTAAGTCTTGGCAGGAATAAGGGCAATCTCTTGGAGCATCAGAATGAGAATCTTGGTTTTGAAACTTACCAGCATCAAGTAATAGGATAGATCTTGGGGGGGGGGTTGTTTAGGGAGCAGGGAGGCGGGTTGGGCGGGTGTTGTAGGCCAACTGAGGGCACTGAGGAGGTGGTGTTTCCCTGACCGTGTAGTAGGAGTTTGATAAGGCACAGAGGAAAAGGGGTTGATAGAGTGGGAAGTAAATTGAAGGGAGCCTAGGAAGGGGTGGTTTGAAAAGGGCTGGGGTGAAGGAAAGGGTGAGCGGGACTGGGTGAGGTGGTTTTGTGTGGGTGGCCCGGTCCTGTAGCACAGCAGGAAATGGTCTTGCTGCCTTCCTGAGGCTGGCTTTGCAGTTGTCAATCTGCATCCTGTTCTGACCTACCCATGCACAAGAGCTTCTGGAGCTGTTCTGCTCCGGCTGCATAGCCCTCTACCCAACGCGCGTCACTGCTCCTTTACTCAGTGGAGTTCAAAGTTGGGAAAGACAGGCAACTGTCACAGAGGGGCGGCGCAGGCAGGGGGAGAAATGTCACAGTTTGACTAATTATTAGGACATGTATTTGGTAAAGTCAAGTGGACATGTATTTGGTAAAGATAGTGGACCCGGAAAAGGGGACAGTGAGGTCTAATAAGAGGTTATTTTTCTTATTCTCTGCTGTGGCAGCAAAGTCTAACGTGCTAATTTGTTACAGGTGCTTTTCAGTGGGAAGAACTGGAAGAAGATATCAGGAAGAAGTTGAAAGATTCTGGAGATGTTTCTAATGTCATTGAGAAAGTTAAGTGTATCTTAAAGACACCAGGAAAGGTAAATTAATTTGTTTGACTCCGGAGTTATAGCTGATATACAGTGATGAGTACATTTAGTTACTAGAAGAGTTAAAGAATACATACATATAAATGTTTTTCTCTGATTATATTTTCCCATTTAAATATTTTAAATAGAAACACATGTTATTTCTCACTTAGATTTTTCTTTTTTCTTTTTTCTTTTTTTTTTCTCTTTTTGAGACAGGGTCTCGCTGTGTAGTTCAGGCTGGCCTTGAGCTCACTTTGTAGCCCAGGCTCGTCTCGAACTCACAAGGATCCCCCTGCCTCAGCCTCCCGAGTGCTGGGATTACAGGTATGAGCCACCATGCCTGGCTATCTCACTTAGATTTTAATTCATGTAAGAATTAAAAGATGTGTGAGTCATGTCTTTAAAATGCTTGTTTGTGAACTCCATCTTCTGGAACATCCTGACGGAGTTCTGGAATACAAGGTCCATGTCAGGAATGAAGGGCTGTTCGACTTTTCCAACTGTAGTTACACTGCTGGGAGGGGATGCTTTCTCATTCTCAGAATTTAAGTCCAAATAGGTGTCAGGAATAGGGCAAGAATTCTGAGAAATATATTTAACCAAGTGGACAGTTAAGTATTCTCTCAAGTATAAATTCAAAATTATAAGCTAAGATCAAGATTATACCTTTTATATAGCCATAAAGTGTGCACATTAGAACTCCAGTTTAGGATTGTAGAGTCTGTGGAGTCTTTAAAAGTAGATTTGTTACATTTTAAGACAATGGTATTGCACAGTTTAGCCAGTATGTTCTTATTTCGGATTGTGTGATAAACACATTGACTGTAATAAAAAGATAAGTGGTATACAATGTGAGAATATGAGTTTACATTAAATTTACAGGAAAGGTAATTCTTTCAATTTGTTTTATACAGATGACTTTATTATAGAGACTAAGTTACATTTTCTAGTTAATAGTTTAAAAATACAAATTGTACTAAATGTAAATTTAATGAAAATTCCCAACTAGTCTTAACTTTTTCAAACAAAGTAACATGGAATTAAGGGATAAGCTCTTTCTTTTGCTTCAGTAACTCGTTGAAGTAGGCATACAAAGCTGTCTAGTCTTCCAGATGTCTAGCAGGACAGTACTCCCTTGCTGGCCAGTTCAACTCAATAATCCTTTTGCAAAACTATGCGCATATACCTCCATGCTGTTTGTCAAAACAGTTAACAGTCTGGTTAACTCATTTATCAGCCATGCATGTCCTGTACACCTGTGTTCTCACCAAATTTCTGCCCTTCTCTATTTTTCTCAAATTTACAGTAGAAAAGACACAGCAATCTGTTTATATAGGTTCATAGTCTCTCATCACTATTTACATCTCTATACACCATATATATTCATAAATATATGTATATAAATATACATCTACATAAGATTCACAATATACCCACTCATAACATTTATATGAATGGAAAGGGCAGGAGTTTTGCTTTAGTTGTAAAGCTGTGCCTTCCCTTGGGTCTGATTCTGTGCGTATTCTTTTGAGTACTGAGAAGGAAGTGGATTCCCCTTGGGGAAGTCTGGGGCCACATGATTTCATGACACTGAACTGAGTATCCCTCTTTTGCACAGGAGGAGGGAAGAGTTCTTCCACTCCGCTTCTGGGCTTTCCTGGGCTTCTGTCCTATCCCCTTGGCTGAGCATGTCACAGAAAGTAGCGCTGAGTGGGAACTCGGGAAGTGTGGATTTACTTTGTGAGTCTGCCACAGGTTTCCTCTGTGGCTGTGAGTGAGTAGGGGCTTTCTGTGGAACAGGGAGGAGCCAGATAGCTCCTAAAGCCCCTGGTAGCTCTCCAGTTCTGTGGTGTGTCTTAGCCGTGACTCTCCTACACAGGCGACAGTCCCTCGTGTGCTGTCCCACAGTTCTCTAGTGTGTGTTGTGACATACTGTGTGTAGGCTCCGAGCACGGACTTTGTGGGACCAGCATTCGGATGGTCCTGGTGTGCCTCTGTGTCTTGCTCACCGATAGCATTCTGGAGTGGTTTTTTTCTCTCTTGAGCAGAAGAATAGAGTCATCCTTTCCCTACAGAGATTTAAAAATTCACACCATAGTAGATTAATTGAGAGTGGGGAGCAGATGGCATTCATTCTTATTGCTAAAGTTCCACGTCTGATTATTTCTTAGGGATCAGGCTTTCTGATCTTCCTACCTGGGCAGGCAGAGGATCAGAGTTCTGACCAGGCCTGAGGTTCTGAGATTCAGCCAGGAAAATGGGTGGAGCCATTAGGAATGAATAAAATAATGATTCCAGAACGAGGGGTTACATATTCCCATAGAAGGGTACAGTCCTGGTGGACCCAGATACTGCTCACAATGACTTACGACTTCTTCAGTGTTGTCCAGGCTTTTTTCTCTTACTCGTTGTAAATAAATCAGGGTCAGTAAATAAGAAAAGAAATGGATGGAGGACGGGAAAAGAAATGGATGGAGGGCGGGAAAAGAAATGGATGGAGGGAGGGAAAAGAAAGGCTGCCCTCAGCTCCTAGAGTTGGACTGAGGGATGTCTAGAGAGGGACCACAGGCAGCATAAGCAGAGCAGCTCAGCCCGAGCGGGACAGAGGCCGTGTCCCTGGAGGCTGCCAGGTGGAGCAAGCAGGAGGGACGAGATAGGAAGATAGAGGTGTTTGCAGAGACCTGGGCGGCTTTCTGTAGGTGTCAGTGTCTCTCCTGTGGGTAGAAAGCATACTTGGAATGATAAAATCGGCAGTTGAGATGGAGAAGAGCCGACTTACTGTCACACTCAGGCATTTTGTTTGTGTTCACTCCTTTAGGAGAAAATGGTGAGCTCCTTGGCAGTAGAAGGACATGTGCAATAAGGGGATAATGTATTCTTCTTAATTGCATATTACTTTTTCCACCTGTGCTCTTTTTTAATGAAAAAATCAGATAGGATAGCCTGGCAAGGTGGCATACACAGTCCTAGCACTCTGAGAGGCTGAGGCAGGAAGATCGCAAGTTCAAGTGCACATAACTTGGCAACTTAGGGAGATCCTGTCTCAAAATAGAAAATAAAATGGGCTAGGGAAGGTAGCTCAGTGCAAAAGCCCTGGTTTCAGTCCCAGTCCCCACCCACAAAGGAATCAGAAGGCACATAAGCATGTATTTGTATTCATGAGTTTGGACTTGTTTCCAGCTCATCAGCTGCACAGCTGAGTTTTCGCTTGGTCAGTTCCCATGCCACCACAAACGTTAGGGGGCAAAGACTGACCGTGGCAGCTGTGGGACCAGAGGGTTAGATCCCTCGAAAGCTCCCATCACATTCGCCATTGGGTAGGATCATTATTTCTTCAAAGATTTACAGTTTTCCAGATTTTCACACCAGCCCCTGCAATGAACAATTTCCCCTTGTGTCTGTGTTTTTTTCTTATAGATTAATTGCCTAAGGAATTGCAAAACTTACCAAGCCAGAAAACCTCTGTGGTTTTATAACACATCCCTCAAGTTTTTCCTAAATAAACCAATGCTTGCTGATGTTGTCTTCGAAATACAAGGTATGGGTCAACTTTCGCTAATTTCCTTACGCATTTTTACTTGTTGTTTTCCTCACTTTCTGTTTCAGGCTTACCTAGGGTGAAGGAAGGATGGCTGCCTAATGCAAGACAGATTCACAGCACCCCAATTTCAGCAAAATCCAGAGAAATGTAACATTTTATTATAACAAGTTATTTACATTTTTCCCAGTATTTCCACCCTTCCCTTACTGTATACTTCGTTAATTTGGGGGGATCAGCAAGGGATGGGGTGATCTGTCATATATATTTTTGTGTATTTTGTGAAGATTCTAGTTTTTTATTTGTCTGAAAATAGCTCCTTTAAAATTCTTTTACCACTGGCTTATTTTGTTCATCGCTCTTTATTTGAGTGAAAGAAACTGAGTTGAGGGTCATGCCTGGCCTACACCAGGTGCCCACAGATATTGCTACATTTATTTCTCACAGTGAGCACTCAGAATTGTTATCACCAGAGCAACTGAAAGCTGCATTTATCTCCGTGGGAAAGTACTGCTAATTTTAGTAAAGATGAGCTGTGGCAATGGCCATTATTGATTACTCACATAGATAATTCTGTCACTTTAGTACACTGAAAGCGTAATCTTAAAAATGAGTTCTAAGGGCTGGGAATATAGCTCAGCAGCTCAAGCGCCTGATGAGCAAGCGCAAAGTCACAAGTTCAATTCCCAGTACCAAAAAAAAAAAAAAAAAAAAAAAAGAGTTCTGAGATACCTTTACTTATGCATGAAAGACAGAATAGTTGCAATAAAATTAAGTAGAATTTTAGAGAGACTGTTAGAAAGAAGATATAATTCTAGTTTTATGGTAGAAATGTACAGCAGGTAACATAGTCATTTACTTTTAAATGTTTTTCCCCAGAAAGGTTCATTTTACTTTTACCTTTGGTCACTTTCCAAGACAAACAGTGAATTGGGAACTTTCCAAAGTACCTTCCAGAGCTACTGTCAGCACCTTATGCAGTGTGACCCTAGGACACTCAAGATGGGACAGTATGAGTGACCTTGAAATATATATTTTAAAAAATGGAGAGGAAAAAAGCTAAAAAGAAATTACACTTTCTGTAACCCTCTCATCATGTTAGAGAAACCTAAAACTGACTCTGACTCAACTCATAATGCAATTACACCTTGATTTATTAGATGCAAAAATAAAACTCCAAAATGTAGATCTAAAGCCAGCTTCCATAAATTATTCATTATAGGTGGAGTAAGTCTTGTCAGCGAGAAAGGCCCTGGTGATTACAGAATTTCCTCATTAGCTTCTCGGGGAAAAAATCCCTGCTGCTGAAAGTGATTACAAAAAGTACTTGGTATGGTCTGTCCATATAGAAGAAATAAAGGAGATACAATTTTGTAGCAGTCACCTAACAATGCTTCGCATTCCAACAGAAAAGACTACACTCATTGTTGAGAAGAAATATGATTCATAAATAAAATAAGTATTTCTATCTTTCCAAAATGAATCTTTAAAAAAGTTCCATTTTAGAAAGTTGAAGTAACCGTGTCTATCTTCTGAAAGAAGTGACTGGTGCCCCTGAAGATGGCAGAGTACTCTTTTCCTGGTGACTTCCTGCGGAAGGGGTGGGCCAGTCTTCAGTCCACGTGACTTCCTGGGGCGGGCCATCAGTCCTGCAGCTGCCATGTTTTGGGGTTAACTGGACTCTCGAGTAGACTCCCAAGAGCTGAGGACAGGGTAGTGATAAACCATTACAGGGCCTAGATGACAGTTCAGGGCAGTCTTTTGATACTGCGAAAGGAAGTAGTGACCCGAAAGCCTTGTGGGGAATGTACGAGAGCAGCGTCCCGGCTCTTTTGCCTGGCAGAGGAGCAGGAGCCGTGCTTTCCCCTTCGGCGAAGGTGGCGGAGTCCATCAGATCCGCCCAGCTGTGGCTCTCCGGGAGAGGCTCTGCTGTCCTCCCGAGCCCAGGTGAAAGCCTCCTCTTACCACTCCACAGCATTTGATATCATCAGTCATAGTACAGTCGAAGAGGTATTTATGTCTTCAGTCACAATCCAGTTCCACCCCTCAGATGCTGTGGTCTTTTTTTGTTTTTGTCACCTAGGTCTGCTTGATTGAGGGTTTTGATGTTTTCAAACCCCGCAGTCATTTAGTATCTTGGGTTTATTTCCCAGTGAGTAACTCAGTCATGTGCAGTGTGTGTGTGTGTTTGTGTGTGTGTGAAAATTATGAAAGAAAGCGATAGCTCCAGTTTCGGAGAAAATACAACAATTCCACTGAGGGAGGATCTGTTGTTACATCATTGTGTCCGCTATGGTCCCCACAATAGTGACTACCTTTAATAAGTAACTTTTGGTAATGAGATGAATGGTCCTGGAATTGGGAGTCAGAATCTGAAGCATAAATGCTCTTTGAGAAGGCTCTGCCTAGCAACGGGCCCACTAGAGCAGCAGGCTTGTACCTGCCAGGGGATGTTAGTTGTGGAGCATAGTTTGAGAGCAGCCTCCCAAGCAAATTAATGTCAATTTGTGGCCCCGTTGTAGATTCATGGATTTGGGAGTGACTCCCATGCCCACCTTTTCTTTCTTGTGCTCTAACATAGCTGCTAAATGTGCATAGCAGACAGCAGTACCTGCTTATAGTTGGCATAGGATGCATTGACACCAAGCGTTGTCAGTGTAGCCTGCTGAAGTGGTTTTCAACAGGAATGAATGCACAGCGCATGTTACCTGTTCTGTTAAGAGAAGGGAGAGCACCACTTCTCAGAGTTCTGCTTTCTTCTGTTATTTCACCTCCTGACATTTTGCTGGCATCCGTGCACACCCCACAGGGTCAGGAAGGCCGAGTCAGGAAGGATTAGCAGGTTCCCTGTCTTGAGAATGTGCAGTGGCTGCTGTGGGGCTTTTTGTAGCCTTCCCCACGCAAAATCCAAGTTGAGAGCAGAGGGGTAGGGATGGATGGAGGTGGATCTGGCTGCAGTTTCTCTGCTGTCAGCTGCAGGGGAGGCCAGGTGGGAAGGTGGAGGAGCATTGGGATCCTGAGCCTGGGATCAGGAGTCCCAGCTCCCACTTTGGCTTTTTTTTGTTTTGCTTCATTTTCTGAGACAGGGTCTTGCTATATAGTCCAGGCTGGACTCAGGACTCCAGGATTCCTCCTGCCTCAGCCTCCTGAGTGCTGGAATTACAGAGGTACCCACCATGCCCAGCCCACATTGGCTTTGCATCTCAAATGTGGGTCATTGGGCAGGTCACTTGCCCGGTCTGGTCTGGTCTTTCCCATTGTCTCATTTACGATGCAAAGACGGTGAAGCACACAGGTCTGAAAGACCCTTTTTAGTGGTGGAGTTGTGTGACTCGCTAGTGGCCATCCTTTTGTTCTCTTAGCACCTACAGGTAGTAATGAGGGTACTATGGAGAAATTCTGATTTGGAAGTTGAGTGAATCTTACTCCTTTTCAAGGGTAAATATGTGTCCATCATCCTGCTGTATGGAATGAAGTGTGGGCACATTGGCAGCTGGCTTACCTTCCCCCAGCGGTGCAGTGAGAAGTAGAAAACCGGAGGAATGAACATGATTCAGACATGAGGGAGGAGCAGAGGACTTAGAGAAACCGCTTGCCTGCTTCATGTCCCTGAGTTTATCATTCCATTCTGATTATGAAACGCATAGATGATTGCTATAGAACACTGTCCACATAATGAGCTCATTTATAGAAAATGTGTCTGTTTTGGTCATAAATGTAAAAAAAGGGTCAGCAAGGATATAGACATATGATGAGCAGTAGTTATATTTAGAAAATGAAATGGGCATGGTAATGATTAGGAAAAACGCTGTAAGCACTTACCGTAGGATAGTTAAGATGATATATAAAGTGCAAAAAAATCTTGTAATTCTGTTCTCCAGTGATATCCAGTAGTTGAGTTTTGGCATATTTGCTAATTTTCCTCTACTTAAAAGGGACTGGAAAAAAAAGAGCAGCTGGGAGCTGGTGTGTTCTGTAATCCCAGCACTCTGGGAGACTGAGATAGGAGAATCACAGTTTAGGTCCAGCTTGGGCAACTTAGTGAGACACTGTCTCAAAATTTAAACAAATGAACAAATGAACAAGCAACCAAATGGGGCTGGGGGTGTAGTCCAGTGTAAAGGAGGTGGATTCAATCCTAGTACCAAAAAACAAAACAAACAAAAAGTGGAGGGGACTAGGTAAGAAATGCTGTTTTTCTAATTGAATATCCTTTAGTTTTAAACTTGCGTCATAATCATTTTGCATAGTATTAAAAACTTAACATTTCAAATGTCATGTGATTATATCTTTTTTTATAAATTGAGGTGTATCTTAAATTTGCAGTATTACAAATAACGTTGCATTGGAAGATTCAGTGTAAATATTTCACTCTGATATCAGGAGTACTTCCTCGGTTAGATTGTTAATCAAAGGATATAAACATCTGTAAGATTCAGTATTTGCTATTAGATTGTATGTCTCCCAAAACACCATTTTACATCCCTACTGGCAGTGTATGAGAGTGCTATTTTAATACTTTCTTAGCATTAAGTACGCTTATATCTTCATTGTTTTCCTTTTTGTGGGGTTTATTGGTATATGTTTGCAATCCAGAATACTTGCGTCCATTTGGGGGAGTTGGTACATACGTGCTATGTCCTGATCAGTTTTGATCGCCTTCCCTTTCCCATTCTCTCCTCTCCCCACTTTGCTTGAAATTTAATGTGTTTTATAATATTCTAATCTACAATCAAAAGTCTAGATTATACAAATTAAAAGCCAAATCTGTTCTGATCTCTTCAACCTTTTGGTATTGAGAAATTTTTATGCCAGTTGTTCCATTATTTTTAAAATTCTTCTTATTATTTTTTTTCGATTCCCCTGTGCTCTCCTCCCCCCAGCAGTCAGCTGTGACCCTCAAAGAGCAGGGCGGGGGAGGGGCAGGAGGCCCTGGGTCTCCCTGGGGGTCCTGCCTCCCACAGGCCTTTGCAGCTGGGCGGGGACTGGGACCAGGGGCT